AGTCCGCAGCTGCTCAAATAAATTAAAGCCGAGAGTTTATACTCCCTCGAGTAATGTCTCTCTCGCGGGCTTACTAGCGTAGCTTCACCTTCGAAAGACCGTCGAAGGTCTCTACACGTACTCGGTAGATATTCCTATCTTATATGAAACACGCTAACTCTCTCGCTCTAACTCATCACATACCATACGTCATAGCTGTATTACAACTACTACCACCGCCACCGCCATTACTATTGCTATGCACTACTAACGCTGAGAGGGTCTATGTCCACCAGGGTACTGCCGGAGCGTACCCTATACCGGACCGGACCTGGTACTATCTAATATGCCGGACCGTACTTCGCCAACTCCACTAACAAGTCTAGGGAGTCGCCTACGCCTACTTCTTAACCCTAACCCTAACCATATCAGATAGTTACCAGGGTACGTTCCGGCAGTACCCTGGGGGACATAGACCCTATGAGCGCCACTAACGCTGTCACTGCCGCTACCAACACCTCCACCATATCCACGACCACCACCGCAGCCACTACCACTTCCAGTACTGTTGCTGCTCTACCGCCGCCGCCACTACTACCGCTACCGCTACCACCACCACCACCACCACTACCACTACCACTACCACTACTACTACTATTACTACTACTACTACTACTACTACTACTACTACTACTACTACTACTACTACTACTATTACTACTACTACTACTACCAGCTCACCACTATTACCGTGCACCTCAACTGTGATCGTCCATAAGAGGAGCACAGAACTGACACACACACGTACACACACTCAGGCAGCGAGATAGCTGGCAGATAGCAGCAGTAGCACCGCCAACACGTATTTGAATAATTTATTCACAGTTATCTAGATGTTATTCCCGCTAATTAATTGCTTTTTCCTTGTCGGCGAATCAATCTCGCATTTGTTAGACAAAAGAAAAGTTTTGCCGAGACGGGAGCGATGCGTGGAGAGAGCGAGATGGAATCAGTGTGCAACTTGGATTAGTGATAAGTGATATAGCCATATAAGACCAAGATACAGTTTTCCCAAACTGGATCCGTAACCCACTAGAATCATCGACCCACGCCCCCTCCCCCGGTTTCAACAACTTTTTTTTTACTGTTTAAATATTTAGTACTATCCGCAATTTCATTACAATATAATTATGATATGATCATGATGGTGTGTGACCACTGTTGATGACTTCATGTGTGCAGCTTATGTTTAAAAAAATCGATCGTTTGACCTACCTGCCTAGTGTTCACCTCATGGGTTAGTATGTGTTACTCTACACGATATATATTTTACGCGTGCCAATAATTACCTCTCGACTAATTATGGGGATAAATCCATGCTTAATTATACTGTTAACTGTTACATAATACTAAAATTTATTCGAGCACGAATACATGTTATAGGTTGAAAAACATCGATTGAATGAGAAATGTACCGGACGATTTTCTATTCCATAACAAATGGCTCACCCAACAAATCCTCAATGCATTTGTTTGTTTTGTTCTCTCGCATGTTTTTTTATTATCTAGTAGGAGTTGCAATGTATTCCCAGTGAATGCTTCATATTTAGCTAATAACAATAATAATAATAATAATAATAATAATAGTAATAGAATAAAAATAATAATGAGAATTAAAACAGCGCGTAATAAGAGAGATAAGTAACAAGTAGTAAGTGCAACAAAAATAATTTAAATTATAAACGCTTGATAATACTAATCATCGTATGAAAGCATACGTTGCCTGGGCAACCTGAATTCACACCTAATCCACCGAATGTAACAGAAATGAGAAGTGAAACGAGCGTGATGTATTTTTGACGAGGTGTGCGCATCATGTATTAATGAAGAACGATAGTAAATATATGCAGCGTTGTAAATATAGCATATAATAAGTGTGGCGAACATTTCTCCCGTGAACATACATGTTGTCACCTCGTGTCCTAAAATATAGACTATCAAATAAACGTGACATTTGTCAGCTTAGCGTCTGTTTGTGCACGACGTGCCGTACCCGTCATCCTACCGTCACTACGTTCTATAACGACATCTACGACTGAAGTAATTTACTGCGGAAAAATTAGGTCGCACGAAGCAGCAGTCTTCCTAATAAATCTATCCATTAGCATACGCCAGTGGCACTCTTTGAGGCTAGTTGAATGATTTACCAGTCGATTACATATTATAGCGCCATCAGAACAAAAAGCTATACATCGAGAAACGCAGACGCGCGAGAATCAAACCAGAAAAATCGGCCGCCATTTTAAATCTCTGCAACTTTGATGGCTAATAATTATAATTGCATGGTTGTTCTGACGTGTCGCTAATTTAGTTCTGGCACGTATTATTACTTGAAACCGTTGCAAAATTCGTGCATATAATGATTGTAAGGCTGGCCTTGCGAATAATAACATAACTCGTTACTCTAGTAAGATTGCACGTAGGTCGTTTTCTTAGGCATTTATAGCATAAAATATCATAAAAGACATAAATATAAGATTATTATTAAAATGAGTGTCAATGACACTATAGCTCACCACAAAAAAGTACACAAATGAGCGAGGGCCAACAAGTCATTTTTAATTCAGCAACTATCCACCTACATTATATAAAATGAAGGTGTCAATGACACTGTAGCTCACCACAAAAAAGGATACAAATGAGTGAGTGAGAAGAAGTCAGTTTTAATTGAGCAACCATCGACGTACATTATAGAAACGAAGAGTATATATGGGAGAACTCCCATTATATACTCTTGATAATTATGTGTAATTTTTTATGTGAAAATAAATGTTTGAGATGTGAAAGTCTGAGATGTGGGCGAGTGATGGCGTTACACCTAAATGATAGCCATTTAACGTTTTTATAATATTCAGATTTAGGTACTGCCTAAAAGCGGAGCTCCCGATGTGTAACGTGTAAGATTGAGAGGATACGCTTATTCCACGTAGCTGCTATATACCACGTGACAATGGTGTTTCCCTGCCCATAACACAACTTTTGTCAAAGGTTAATTGGTTGCATGGAAGTGTTTACTTCGTATGAGTTTTTCTAAGCGGTAGCACACGGTTGCCATCTGTATATCGCAATAATAATTTATAAACCAAAATGAATCACAATTTGTGACGGTAGATGGCGCTATACCCGCTTTGATGTTTCTTAGCGATGGCGTTCGCAATAAATAGGTTATGCTGCATTCCGACATGTTTTGTAAAACTTTACTCTAATATAGACGTTTTATCGGCAGGGTGGAGAAGAAATACCAATTTTGCATTAAAGATATTGTCAATGAAATCTTGTAAAACGAACCAGACGAGTGTGACACCACAGACTGTTATCTGCGTGTCTATATAATATGCTATATAATTGCCAAAACCTACCTAATTTGCATAATTTTTTTTTAAATATCAAAACCCCTGGCCCTTATTCATTCACATACCAAAAATGAGCAAAATCCGTTGAACCTGAACTGACTAATGGCAATTCCCATTTTTGCCAAAAAATTGCCGTGGCTCGAAAGTACGTTGACTGGCGTGCTCCAAAATAGGACGTTCAATATGGGAGCATAGCAGTAACAACTATACCCAATTTCAAACATGTGTCAAACGGTTCCTGAGTTATCGTTGACCGTAGCCAAATGTTGACGGAAGGACGGCCCCATGGCAATAGCTCAGCTTGACGATGTCAAGGTGAGGTAACAAGACTCAAGAGTATATATGGGAGAACTACCATTACATAGCATATCTCCCATTATATAATCGTGATAATTATATATGCGTAATTTTTGATGCGAAAATAAATGTTTCAGATCTGAAAGTCTGAAATCTGGGCGAGAGATGGCGCTACGCCTAAATGATCGCCATTTTGGTTTTCGATTATTGCGCAAATAAAAACAATAAAATATTCGTCAAATTACTGTAACGAAAAATCTAAAACACAATATTACACGTAGGTATGATGAGGTAGGTAGGTAGTTAGCTAGGTAGGTAAATTTAACAAAATCGAAGGAATCTAGTATTTTCATTTTTGCCAAAAAATGGGCGTGGCTCGAAAGTAGGTCAACTGGCGTGCTCCAAAATAGGACGTTCAAAGTCTCTCCCATAGGAGTAACAACTGTATGCAATTTGAAACATGTGGGTCAAACGGTTCTTGAGTTATCGTTGACGATAGGCAGACACTGAAATGCATAAGAAAATTGCCAAAATCTACCTAATTTGCATAATTTAAAAAAAATATCAAAAGCCCTGTGATATGTTTTGGGGTCAGTCCTTATTCATTCACATACCAAAAATGAGCAAAATCCGTTGAACCTGAACTGACTTATGGCCATTTCCATATTTGCAAAAAGTGGGCGTGGCTCGATAGTAAGTCAACTGGCGTGCTCCAAAATAGGACGTTCACATCTCTCCCATAAGAGAAACAACTGTATGCAATTTGAAACATGTGGGTCAAACGGTTCTCAAGTTATCGTTGACCGTAGCCAGATGTTGACGGACAGACGGACGGACGGACGGACGGACGTACGACGGACAACGCCCCATGGCAATAGCTCATCTTGACAATGTCAAGGTGAGCTAAAAACCAGCATGCACCATTAGCATCTATGGCTGTCTAGGTGTACGCAGCTACTATCTCCTATCCCCCAACCTCTATCTATATTGAAGTAACTACAGACACTATACAGACGCAATAATAAAATCATCTACTAAAAGCCGACTAAATTAACTTCAGTCTAAAATAAACGAGTGCTAGATATCACCTCCGATGCTATAAATGTTAGTAAGTAATGAG